GCGTAACTAAAATTTCATTTTGAAAAGCTCATCTGTTTATAAATCGAATTGAAATGTGTTCTACGGTCCTTTAAGCATCTTTCCATTAAGTTTGAAGGCGCTTTTTTTGCCAAAATTGAAAAACAAAAAACAAGGGGTAAGTAAGCCTTACTTTTTTGATGAAATTTGTCCCAAAAAATGAATTTTCTTCAAACTATGAAGACATTATTTTAAAGGCAAGAGGAGCATCAAGCAACATTCAAACACAAATATATTGAAGATTTGGGCAAAAATCGTTGATATTTAGAGGAAAGCAAATCATTATTTTTGACTGATTTTACCCCAAATTTTCGGAAATTTTATATTGAAAAGCACATCTGTCCAGAAATCGAATTGGAATGTGTTCTTTGGTCCTTTGGGCATCTTTCCAGCAAGTTTGAAACGATTTCATTTTTGGCCAAAATTAAAAAAAAAACACAAGAGGTAAGCCTTACTTTTTTTATGAAATTTGGCCCAAAAATGGATTTTCTTTAAACTATGCAGAATTTCTTTTAAAGGCTGGAGGAGCATCAAGCAACATTCAAACACCAAATAATATTGAAGATTTGGGCAAAAATCATCGATTTCTAGACAAAAAAATCCATTATTTTTGACTGATTTCACCCCAAATTTTCGTCGACATTTCATTTTGAAAAGCACATCTGTCCAGAAATCGAATTGGAATGTGATCTATGGTCCTTTGGGCATCTTTCCAGCAAGTTTGAAGCGATTTCATTTTTTGGCCAAAATTGAAAAAAAAACACGAAGGGTAAGCCTTAATTTTTAAATGAATAGGGCAAAAAAAACAACTTTTGTTCAAATTATGCAGATATTCTTTTAAAGGCAAGAGGAGCATCAATCATCATTCAAACACCCAATATATTGAAGATTTGGGCAAAAATCATCGATTTTAGGAAAAAAAATCATTATTTTTGACTGATTTTAACCAAATTCGTCCGCTAGGGGCGACTCGCCCCTAGAGCTTCTTCTTCTAGGGGCGACCACTAACGGTCACCCCTAGAGGTACTGGAGGTATGACACTCCATATTTTTCGTCATCACTTGTTCCAAAAAAAGAGGCGCGCTACATTAAACACTGATTACCGCGCCGAATTATGTCCATTCGCGATGTAAACGAACTTATTGATGCTCGAAAACTCAATAAAAGTACATTGCATTGAAATGACATTGCGTCCAATATTTTGCCATGATATTCGGCTCAAGAATCTTGAAAATTGGCAGAAACCGTGAAGGAATTATTGTAATATGATTTAACCCTCCGAGCAGCGCGACGGTAGTTTAATAGTCCAGATTTTCTAAATATGGTCATAATTTTTTTTTTCGATGGGCCAATATAAAAATGGGTTAATGCCACGCTAGCTTTGAAAAATATACGCCACTTGACCTAACAGATGAGTAAATAAATTAAAAGTTTGTTCGGAGCCAATAAGGCTCATCAGGTTGGCGTATGACTCTGGCTTCCGCGGCATTAAACGATGAGAACATTTCTTTTCCCCTTCTTGGGAAATCGCAGGTTACTCCCAAGTTACTTCTGGTTCCCAATGATACTGCTGCTTGTTCAATAGTGCAGCAGCATCCGCACCAATATTCTTTCAATAGAGGGCGCGCCACATAAATAGTGGTCTCGATAATTATCCACCACCAAACTTGTTTGGAGCGCAACGACTATAGAAATACAAGATGTTTTAAATTGAATTTTCGTGTAGTGATTTTGTCATTATGTTTAACATTACCAGATTGAATTTCATAAGAAACCGCCAAACAATGAAGCAATATTGACCGTAACAATACAGTGTTTTCAGCGCGACAAATGCAATCCGAATGAAAATCAATGTGTATTTTTCGCGTGTAAAACACTATATTGTTACGATCATATTATTTTTATCGTTGGACTGTTGCTCATGATATTCAATACACCTCTGTTACACATCCTGGAAATTGATTGCACGAAATTTCAGTTTAATACATCTTGTATTTCTTGAGTTATTGATCGGAAACTGAGATGTTATTTTTGTGCAATAGTGCAGCGTCCGCACCAAAATCCTTTTATAGAGGGCGCGCCACATAAATAGTGGTCTCGATAATTATCCACCACCAAACTCGTTTGGGGGGCAACAACTCCAGAAATATGAGATGTTTTAAATTGAATTTTCTTCTAGTGATTTGTCATTATGTTCAACATTACGAGATTTAATTTCATAAGAAACCGTCAAACAATGAAGCAATATTGAACGTAACAATACAGTGTTTTAAGCGCGACAAATGCAATCCGAATGAAAATCAATGTGTATTTTTCGCGTGTAAAACACTACATTGTTACGATCATATTATGTTTATCGTTGGACTGATTCTCATGATATTCAATACACCTCTGTAGGCTCTGTTACACATCCTGGAAATTAATTGCACGAAATTTCAGTTAAATACATTTTGTATTTCTTGGATTATTGATCGGAAACTGAGTTGTTATTTTTGTTCAATAGTGCAGCATCCGCACCAAAATCCTTTTATAGAGGGCGCGCCACATAAATAGTGGTCTCGATAATTATCCACCACCAAACTCGTTTGGGGGCAACAACTCCAGAAATACAAGATGTTTTAAATTGAATTTTTGTCTAGTGATTTGTCATTATGTTTAACATTACGAGATTTAATTTCAGAAGAAACCGTCAAACAATGAAGCAATATTGACCGTAACAAATCAGTGTTTTAAGCGCGACAAATGCAATCCGAATGAAAATCAATGTATTTTTCGCGTGTAAATCACTACATTGTTACGATCATATTATTTTTATTACGGGACTGTTGCTCATAATTTTCAATACACCTATGTTACACATCCTGGAAATTAATTGCACGAAATTTCAGTTGAATACATTTTGTATTTCTTGAGTTATTGATCGGAAACTGAGTTGTTATTTTTGTTCAATAGTGCAGCATCCGCACCAATATCCTTTTATAGAGGGCGCGCCACATAAATAGTGGTCTCGATAATTATCCACCACCAAACTCGTTTGGGGGACAACAACTCCAGAAATACAAGATGTTTTTAATTGAATTTTCGTTTTGTGATTTGTCATTATGTTTAACATTACGAGATTTAATTTCATAAGAAACTGTCAAACAATGAAGCAATATTGACCGTAACAAATCAGTGTTTTCAGCGCGACAAATGCAATCCGAATGAAAATCAATGTGTATTTTTCGCGTGTAAATCACTACATTGTTACGATCATTTTATTTTTATCGTTGTACTGTTTCTCATGATATTCAATACACCTCTGTTACACATCCTGGAAATTAATTGCACGAAATTTCAGTTTAATACATCTTGTATTTCTTGAGTTATTGATCGGAAACTGAGTTGTTACTTTTGTTCAATAGTGCAGCATCCGCACCAATGTTCTTTCAATAGAGGGTGCGCCACATAAATAGTGGTCTCGATAATTATCCACCACCAAACTCGTTTGGGGGCAACAACTCCAGAAATACAAGATGTTTTAAATTGAATTTTCGTCTTGTGATTTATCATTATGTTTAATATTACGAGATTTAATTTCATAAGAACCTGTTAAACAATGAAGCAATATTGGCCGTAACAAATCAGTGTTTTAAGCGCGACAAATGCAATCCGAATGAAAATCAATGTGTATTTTTCGCGTGTAAAACACTATATTGTTACGATCATATTATTTTTTTTTAATATCTGGAAATTAATTGCACGAAATTTCAGTTGAATACATCTTGTATTTCTTGAGTTATTAATCGGAAACTGATCATTGGTTTAGTAAGGCTCGCACCAATATCGACCGCAATTTACCGTTTCTCCTTTACAACCCATAAATTCCCTCACCGACCCATTGAGTCTGTGTCTCTTAAGACCTCCAATGCATGAAAACTTAAAGGAAATTGTAGTGTAACACTCTATATTTTATCATTAGCAATTTCTTTCTAAAGAGGGCGCGCTGCATAAACACTGCTTACCGCGCCGACTTCCGTCCATATTCGCAATGTAAAAAAAACTTATTGTTTGCTCAAAAACTCAATAAAGGCACATTGCATTGAAATGATAATGCGTCCAATATTTTGCTATGGTATTTGACTCAAGAATTTGGAAAATTGACAGAAACCGTGAAGGAATGAATGTATTATAATTTAATGAACGTGCATTGTATCACTCACCAAATTAAAGAAAATATACATACCTTTTTGCAAATGTGTACCAATTATCATAACCAAGTGCAACTGAGATATGTTATAGGCTGGTAAAACCCCCACAAATCCCGGGACACACCGGGGTTTTTTTCGTTTTACCGTTTTGGATTTCCTCAAAAACAAAAACAGTAAACGAAGCATTGACCGTTATGTCGTTTTAAAGTTTTGTCAAAGGGTCTAACGGTTTTAAGATAAATACGGTTATTTCGTTTTATCAGTTGAGTAAAATTCATTACAGCATAACGATGAATGATTTTTGTTTTTCAGTTTTACACAAATACCTTTGAAAAACAGCAAAACGGTCAGTGTTGAATACAGATTGTTTTTTTTTTTTTTTTTTTTTAGGAAATCCAAAACGGTAAAACGAATAACGGTATGTACTGGGATTCCCACCCCTGCCTTTTTGAGTTTAATAAACCATGTCAAAGAACAACTCTTTTGCTTTGTAATGATACCACATTCCGTAGCTCATTTACATAAAAGATATATAACTTATATATATTTAATTTATAAAAATACTGCGTAAAAGTTGAATGTGCGTTGCTGAACTTCCCCTACCTCGTTTTAAGAAAAACAGCTTTGAAAAAAGTGTGTGTTGCGCGTTGTGCATTGTAAGCTTTATGTGCAATGTGAACGTACATTGGCGCGTCCACTTCTACGCCGATCATTGTCATTTGTATCAATATACCACAACTAACATGAGCAAATAATTTGTACTCTATTTTATAATAAGACTCATTTTTCCTCTGTAAAGTTGTGTGTCCGGATCCAATTAACTCCGGCTAAATCTTTTAGCTACGTCACATCCCACGTTTGTGCCAACCAGTGATTAGAAAACTTGAATGGTTAGGACATCAGAAAGCGTATAGTCTACAGAGCAATACTGTACAAGTGTACTGTTAAACATCACTTTAATTAAAAGACATTACCAATATTAAAGTTAAATTTAGACACCCCCACGTAAATACATGTAGAACTTATAAGATACAGCAGCTGGTATCTCAGAGGTTGTAATTTGTCAATTTTTACTTTTTTCAAAAACGAATCCACAAAATAGACATGCCTTAACAAGTGATACATAGCATTGTCATCTTAATCCGCAATTAACGCATAAGGTCACTGTGAAGGTGTAAATGTATAACATTGGACAGAAACGTGTCAGCTATGCTTAGATTTTATACTAACTTCTGGCCGCCAATAAAAATGGCACTCAATCTTTGTAACCAACGGAAAGGACATCCTCTACTCCTTGGGTCGTGCGCATTCCTTCAGGGAAGGCATTGTAATAACATGGCGCAACATGATAGTATCCAAGGGAACGAGGTTGCAGAAAGGCCTAAACCATGCGCTTCATATAGACGCATTCCTCCAAATCAACCAGACCAACATTCACGTGCCCAGACTCCACGACATTCATCATCTCGCACCTTTCCTCGTTCTCGTGGAAATTGAACGACCGGCATCGCGCGTCGCGCGAGCACGCCACGGCGCAGACGATCGGACTGCGCGCGCGTCTGGTTGCCATCACGTGGCCCTGGGGGCACAGTCCTGCTTGAGGGCGTCCTTCAGGGTCATGACTGGCGAAGGTCGAGGCAAAGACGGCAGACCGGCGTTTTGAGGCGGGGCGGTCCGTCTGGCTGTTCCCTTGATCCTCACACGGTGTCATGGGTTCGATGGGTGAGGTAGAACCTGCGGTCGCAGTGACTGCTGCTTCGATGGTCGTCATGCTTGATTCTGTAGATTCCAGCAAAACGAAAACAATTCACATAGGGATGACGTGTGTGAATTATTTTCGTTTTGCTCAAAGAAAAGACAACATTTTTGTGATCCGTGGACAAAACTTTTAAACGATGGTTGTGTTTAAAATTCTTTTACTTAAAAATTGTATAAGTGATTTATTTGATTCGTGTACTTCAAGAAAGCTTACTAATTGAACTTTCATATACGAGATTTTGAAAGTGCTACATGCAGAACTTTATTAAGAAAATGGTCCTGCCATTTAGGTTTCCTTTTTTTTTTCTCAAACAGCGAGTTAATCACTTTAGACTTTGCCCAAGAAAATGAGGATACCTGTGTATTCCAGATCCTCTGCGCCCTTCTCACACACGAAGTGCAAAGATGTGTTGCACGACGTTGGGAATACGGTAGGCCTATCGGTTGTGTTGAGACCAACGCATCCTTCCTTCAGCCCGGCCTTTGCAGGATCCTCTTGCCAAACTATGAGGACAGATTTTAATACAATTGATACAAACAGGGAAATACTACAAAAAGCGACTCGATCTTTAACAAGCCCTCGGATTTCATGTAGTATCTGTACCCTTCTGATTAAGAAACTTTCCAAAAATATTACAGGGTAGTACAAAAAGAAGGAAACCCACTTTCACAGGAATTTTGAACAGGTTTTGTCTTTTGGACAATGTAGTTAAGTATAGCTCTTTGACCATACAAAGTGAAAAAAAAACTTTAAACAAATTACAAGAAAAGCGTCATTATAATAATTTGAATAGAAGTCACCAAAATCACTGTTGTCCACGTGTAAGTCTAGCGTAGTGTTTTTTTCCGGAGTTCAGTCCAGCAGATGGAATAAAGCCGTCCGTGGACAAACAGGTTTGGCACATGAACTGTTTAAATTAGCAGAGTCAGAGCCGAAATAATGCAATTTGCAATCCTTTTCGTCACGTATATATTTAAAGATCATTTTAAATACCATGGAAACAAATGGAATGTTTGAAATAATTATGCTCAACAAGAAGGTGAAAAAAAGTGTTGTCAAAAGTGTGTTTCCTTCTTTTTGCTCCATGTAGAATGGTATAAGCGTGTATTCTAATTGTACAAAACAATGTGCGTATTACTTTTTCCAACTTCCAATTTGTGTAAAAACATACGAACCTTGGAATTCAGGCAATGCATTATTCTCAGGATCTTCGCAATACCATGTCAGCGATGGCCGAATTCCTAGTGTGCACTCGTAGTCCAATATGACACTGGAGGCAATCTTATCCGCGATGAATCTGAAATGTCATCATAAAATTAGGGGTAAAAATCGGAGCGTTAACACTAGCCTTAACTGATCGATTAAGATGATGCTCCCAACAGAGTAGGAATGCTAGACCGAGGTTCTTAGGATGGAACGAAAATATACATCAATCAACAATCAACAAATAAACGGACAATGATCAAAACCAGAATTAACAATAAAACCAAAATTAAATCAGTAAATAAAACAAGGGAACGATTTAAATTCTCTTGTTTCTATTAACAATTTCATTAACAAGTTCGTGCTTGTGGATGTGGATATATATTGGATCGCGGTATTTGAGATAATGGCCTTTTGAAATTGTCGAATGTAATTTTGTAGCCATTATAATACGTAACACGATTAAATATTTCCAGGAGTTTGTTTCTTGTTTTGTTTAAATTATTTGAATACATCGCGTGTTTCAATTAGAAGCATGAGAAGTGTTAATTAGAAATATCAAATGGACCTTGACGACTATAGGACATGTTAATAAAATGGTATATACAGAGTGTCCCGGCCCAATAAACATTGTGCATGAAGAAATCGCTGATTTTCTCAAAAGTTGGGCAGATTAGCTAATCGAATTTTATAGCATTGTCAAGCGTATGGTCTTGTTTTTAACTATATAGTTAAAAAAATCAAGAAAATCCAACGATGCAAACCAGAGATATCTTTGATTTTGTAAGGCTATTTTTTTTTTTGACCTGCACATAAACAATGTAATTTCTGCACTTAGAATATATAACAATTACTGGGTTATTGGTATGTGTTACGCAGTGCATGCAATATTGCATTATGTTGCATTTGGATAAAAAAGTTCACATATAACATTTTGGGTATAACATTGTATAATCAAATCTAACACTTGTAATGCATAATATCATGTGTTAAGTCTTGCAAATCATGCAATCTTCTTTGACAGCTGAAATGTATTGGCCTAAGCTTAGGGTTTCTGGTATGGAGCTTGCCCCAAAAGTGGTGCGGCGGCGCGTTTTGTTTTTGGTTGTTTTTTTTTACCCAACTTTTGTTTCTCTTCAAATGTCGGCTGATGTCGCAGATGACTCTTCGATCCCCTTAAAACTATTAAAATATCCTTCAGAATGGAGCTTGGGTGACCTCAATAAGGCCATAAGGCTTGAGAAGTATATTGATTTAATTAAAAGCGTTTACAGGTCCCAGGTACACGACCGTCGCTCCGTCAGTCTGGCTTCCAGACGCACAATCACAAAATTACAACACCGTCTGCAAATGGTGCCTGACTAAATGTAGTGCAAAAAATATATATATGTATGGGAGCGCAGAGAGGCCACATAAAATTAAATACTCGAGCGTAACCCCATCTAAAACACGTTAAAATTGTGCAGCAGCAGGTCAGTCAAACCAGTGAGTTTAGCGGTTTTGAGACATCATCTTACATTGAAAAAAATACTTTTTAATTTTGCCGACGCGCATGGCTACGGCGACACGCGCGCATACCAGAAACCGGAGACTTTTTTGGGGGGGGGGGTGTTAACTACAGGATTTTAATTGTGCAGGAGGATAATATCAAAATCAATTTCTGATTTTCACATTGCTTTGATGGATTTTCTTGAGTTTACCAATTATAAACCAGATCATAGGTTTTAAAATGATATATAAAATTTGATTTGCTAGTATGACTACCTTTTGAGTAAATCGGCGACTTCTTCATGCACAATGTTTATTGCGACACGCTCTACATTAGACTTCGAAAACTATTAATATTGTGTGTAGTCATTGCTAACCCCGCTTCCTCAGGGCTTTCGAGCTGAAGCAGCGAGGCTTGCTCGGCCAGACAGGTAACTTTCGCTTGCTGATGAGTCTGCTTCTGATCGAAACCTATTGAATATCTGTCGCTGAACATGTAGCAGTCTTCACCCCTCATCTCCCACTTGTCCTGGCACTGCAAGGCTGCAACCAAGAAAAAATCGTAAAGAACCGTTAAAGCGTATTCCATTCCCCCTCCCTCACGAAAAGAAAAATTGCGAAAATCAAACAGAAAAAAAGAAGAAATGGTCAACATACAACACGCATTGTAGGCATAGGGGAAACAAATTGTGTTTGAAATCAAAACTCTTGTAGAAGGGCTGAATTGGCCTGGACACGGTTTCATAATGCTGCTCAGACGAAAAAAACATATCCTTACCAAATTAATTCTCGGTACATTTTTGTTTTACAAATAATTAAACCACTTCGGTCACTATATGACATTCTGGTGTGGGATAGATGATTCATGATTCATGATCTGTTGGGACCAGAAGTAAAGTCTGATGTGTTGTTTAAGGAAAGTGTAGGTTGGCCATAAATTCTAAATAATACCTCAAAGGTAGGATCACTTTTTGTTTGTGCTCAGTGTTTATATGTTTTCATTTCAAGAATAAAATTGCTCAACATTTTTTTTAAAGTATATAACAACTAACCTATGCACGGTTTAGCTTAAAGGCAACTTTACATTTTTTTCGAAAACAGATGAAACTTAGTAATTATGCTCAGTTTGGGGGGTCTGGTAACTAACGTAGGCCTATGTAAAAAAAAAAATTAAAAAAAAAAAAAAAAATTGCCCGCTCGCACTCATTTTTAAAACAACGGCACATTCCATGATTGCTTTCTTCCGAACGATACCATTTCTGGCGGCATAATTTCATAGTTTATTGGGTATACCATTTATATCTTTACCTTGAACAGGGTTTTTCCATTAAATCGGTAGGTTTAAGCGTGCCTTTAAATTAGGATATGAATAATTTATAGTAACCCTGAATATTAAAAAAGAACCCCCCAACAACAAAAAAGTTGATTGCTTACTGTACTTAAACAAGTATTGCTATCATTGACGCTCGTTTGTATAATTGGTATGGGTAATAGCGATACCAGCTAGTTTACACGCGCCTATTCAGCACTACACACAAAGCGCGATCAATGCATTTTCCAATGGCTTATCATGCAGTGAAGGTAATAGGCTTAGTATTTGTTGCATATATTGGGGAGCAGGGGGTAGTGATCTCTTCGTGAAATTCTGATGGCCAAATTGGCAGTCTTCGTTGAAGTTGAAAAAAAAAGGCATTGTTATCTCACCCCTTTCCCAAAATAATGAGTACTGACTCCTTTTCAAAGACATGTAACTGGGTTTGAAATGTTATAGTTCAGAAATCGCCGTGTTTAAATTTCATTATTTTGAAGGCATTTTAAATAAATAAATTCGACATAGGGCTAAGCTTTCATATGGCTAGCTTTTTCCTGCATTTTTAAATATTTGGTAAAAGTATTTCAATCAATCTCAAGTTTCATTACCGAGAGAGGATTCAGGGCTAGGTAGGCCTATAAGAAGTGCACAGATCAAAATTGGAGGAACTCATATTTTCAAAGTTTCGAGGGGGAAAATGGCTAATTTCCGGCCACCCAGGCACAGTCTATACCGTCAAATCTCGTAAATCAAAAACGGGTAAAATAACGCCAATTCCTGGTAATTTTGTTTCTATTTCGATTTTCAAAAAAAGTATTTCTTTTTTTAAATAAGAATACAATTGCCTCTCTTAAATTTGAACCATGTGTCGAGAGATTTGAACTATTTTGGAAACTATTTTGCATTTCAGTTATTTCGAAAACTTCTTCAGAACAACCCAAACCCCTTCCTAAATTTGGCACTATGCCGATTGTTCTAAATACCTGTCTTTTGTCACGTCACTCGTGTAGGTCAAAACCGTAATCAGATATCCATAATTTGAAGACGAAATTATCATCAACAATTTAATCTTATCGCCTGGTTCTAATTTTTACTTTCGTTTTCATGCACGACACCAAATTATTAGTGATTCTGGATCCTTTTATCATACAAAATAAAACCCTTTACCCTCTTATTGGTATCAATATTGGCTGGTTGCTATAGGAGCACGGTTCTTGCAATCCAACAATACCAAAACTGTTATAGTGACGCACTTCAGGATTTAATTTCTGACCCTTTTACCATTCGCTAACCGCTTGAACAAAGCTCTCATCACTGGACAATTGTTTTCCAGATTATTTCTCACAATCGATTAGGCCTACACTGGAGTGTAGAGTTGACCTAATTATATCTTCTCTTTCCTTTAAAATAGGAAATACTCTCGAATGGCTAGAATATTAATGACAATACTACAGGATGAGTAAAAAAATCAAGTCAAAGTTCTGTCCACGGA